CCCTGCCTTCGCCCTAAGTCGGCTGGGATAGGCTCCAGCCCCCCCGCGACCCTAATGAGGATTAAGCGGTGTATAGAAAATGGATGGATGGATAATAATAATAATAATAATAATAATAATAATACATTTTAATTAGAGGCACCTTTCTTGCCATTCAAGGACACTGTACATACATTAGACAAATCAAAATAAAAGAAACAACATTAAAATGATTAAAATCACTAAATTAACAGACAGAACAACATGCTTCAGGTGGAGTAGGGAGTCTTAAACAGATGAATTTTGAGTTGTGATTTGAATTGAGGGAGTGAATTGATATTTCTGAGTTTGGGATGGTAGTGAATTCCAGAGACAGGGAGCAGAGCAGCTGTAAGCTGCCTTAAATGTTAAAAGGACGATTAGCCAATGGAGCTGTTGGAGGACAGAAGTGATGTGGTGGATCGAGGGGGTTTGGGTTATGATGTGGGCAGCTGAATTCTGGACCAGTTAAAGTTTATGGAGGGATTTGTGAGGGAGACCAAAGAGGATAGAATTAGAATAGTCCAGATGGAAAGTGACGAGACTGTGGACGAGGATGGCAGCAGTGTGGGGGGAAAGGGAGGTGCAGAGGAGGGGTGATGTTACGTAGGTGGAAGTAGGGAGACCTGGTGATGTTATTGATGTGGGATTGGAAGGATAATGTACTGTCAAGGATGACACCCAGACTCTTAACCTGGGGGGAAGGTGAGATGGTGGAATTGTCAATTGAGAGAGAAAAGTCAGTTTTGGATAAGGTGGATTTGGTGTCAATGAGGAGAACCTCAGTTTTGTTACTGTTTAATTTAAGGAAATTTAGGGTGAACCAAGTTTTTATTTCAGAGATGCAGTCAGTGAGGGAGGTGGGCGCAAGAGTGGACGAGGGTTTAGTGGTGAGGTAGAGCTGGGTGTCATCAGCATAACAGTGGAAATGAATGTTACATTTACAGAAGATATTGTCAAGGGGAAGAAGGTAGATGATGAAGAGGAGGGGCCCCAGGACAGAGCCCTGGGGCACACCTGAAGTGACAGAGGAGGGGGTGGATTTAGAGGACTTGAGTTGGATGAACTGAGTGCGGCTGGAGAGGTAAGAAGTGAACCGGTCTAAAGGAGTGTGAGTTATGCCAATGGAAGATAGCCTGTGGAGGAGGGTGGAGTGACAGATGGTCAAAGGATGCACTCAGGTCGAGGAGGATTAGGATGGTGGAGAGTCCAGAATTAGCTGCCATGAGGAGGTCATTTGTGATTTTGTTGAGTGCCATTTCAGTGATATGGAGTGGACGGAAACCGGACTGGAACTGTTCGTACGGGTTATTATGGACTCGGTGAGAGCGGAGTTGGGAGGCAACTTCTTTTTTTGAGGATTTTGGGGATGAAGGGTAAATTGGAGATAGGATGGAAGTTGTTGAAGTTGGACGGGTCAGCGCCAGGTTTTTTCAAAATTGGGGTAATGGCAGCAGTTTTGAAAGCTGTAGGGACAGTTCCAGTGGTGAGAGAGGGAGCATTGTTGCCTTGCCAGTTCCCATCCTGGTGAGGACACCCGGGATCTTTCTGTGTGGAGTTTGTATGTTCTCCCCATGCAGCGTGGGTTCTCTCTGGGTTTTCTGGCTTCCTCCCACACAGTCCAAAAACATGTTGAGGTTAATTGGTGATTCTAAATTGTCCGTAGGTGTGAATGTGAGTGTGCTTGGTTGTCTGTCTCTAAGTGTAGCCCTGCAATAGACTGGCGACCTGTCCAGGGTGTCCCTTGCCTTTTCGCTGAGTCAGCTGGGATAGGCTCCAGTCCCCCCGCAACCCTAGTGAGGATTAAGCGGTGTATAGACAATGGATGGAGGAAGGTATGTGAAGTTTGAGGTAGATTGGAGCATGTACAGGGTCATTAGACATACCTCCTTTTTGATGGTGAATGATCACATTTCAGAGGGCCGCCATTGCCACGCCCGTGGACTTTTGTGGAGCATTTTGATAACTTTTAATCACCAAGCCCTGTTGTATGCGCTGGCCAAATTTGAAGCATGTAGGAGTTAAGCCCAAGGAGGAGCTAACTTTTGAATAAGACAAACATCACAAAAAATTGCAGTTATTTCAAAATAGCGGACTTCCTGTTGAGTTTGCAGAATGGGTCAAAGAGGCTTTTTTGTGCGTCCTGATGTGTTACATATATCTATCAAATTTCGTAGATGTAGGTTAAGCGTACTGCGGGGCTAATAGATAAAGTGTTGTAGGGGGCCATTTTGCCAATCAGGCACACATTGTCTGTCTTTGAGCCGATAGTGACTTGTATGCCAATTTTAGTGAGAAATTTTCATGAGTTTTTGAGAATGTTTCGGCCCTCAAAAACATGTTTGTTTTGTGCGGAGAATAGTAATTCCTTGCATTACAACAGGGTCCTACGCACTGTAGTGCTAATGAAGAAAGAATTAGACGACAATGAATAGCAAGGAAGGTTGGATGAAGGTAGTACCTCAAGAGGGGTACTAAAATTCCAAATGATCTGTGAATTATTGAATACAATATAGAAAAAAATTAAGGAGAAGTGAGGAATAAAAGTCAAGGTTCTTTCTACCAACAAACGGGAGAATCGTTGATTTATTACTGAACTGAAATTGCTAGGGTTTATTAGGGTCCAAGCACTCAAAGGGTGCGAAGACCTTATTGGAATGCTAGAGATTATTAGGGTCCGAGCACACCAGTGCAAGGACCCTATTGAAACATTTGTGATTATTACGGTCCGAGCACCCAAAGGGTGCAAAGACCCTGTTGGAGCGCCAGAACACAAGACGTGCTGTGTAACTGGCCTGTGCCTACTCCAATCGGCCTGAAACTTTACACATGTGGTCTGAGTCTCAGCCACAGCGCGTTTCCACCACGGCCAACACGCACGCCGTTGCGGCTTGTGACTAAACAGGAAGTGGCTCGTAACTAGGCCACACATGCTCCGATCTGCCTCAAACTCGACACGCCGGATCACAGTCCCGCCCACAGCACGTTTGTGCCACACCCCAACATGCACAAAGGCCGACAAGCGTAGGGCAAGGACCTTAATTTTAATAAAAGCCGCAAGTGATATTTGACAGGTCCTCGTCTAAAGTGTGTAAAGTTTCAGGCCGATTGGAGCACGCACAGGCCAGTTACACAGCACGTCTTGTATTCTGGCGTTTTATTGTGTTGTGGCCCAATTCAGGGGGTCGCCATTTCCATGGCGTCAGACTTGTGCGGACCATTTTACTAACTTGCAATCACCACGTCCTGTAGTTTGTGCTGGCCAACTTTCAGGTGTGTGCGACCTTCCCTATAGGAGGAGATAGATTTTGAAAATGGCGGAAAATGTCGAAAAGTCAGGCAAAGTCGCCAAAAGTGTTGCTATGACCGTTTCTCAATACTCAAGTACGCAAGTCCGTACTTGCGTTCTCGCAAGTCCGTACCCGCTAGTCTGTACTCGCGAGTACGGTCTAGCGAGTCCGGGAGAACGCATCGCCGTTTATGTGCAATTGGGACAGCAGCGTACTCAATGACATCACCACCTCGGCTCATCTACTTTGATTATCTTTACCGTGAAAAACAACGAAATTAAATGAAATACTAGAACACAGCTCTGCTGAAATACGTTTTAATATATATATAAATAATATGTATACATGTTGAGGTTTCTAAGGTCATTATACAATCTTTATTGAAGCCGTTAATTTGTTGACAGCAGTGTCTAATCAACAGGTCAGATGTTGGAGGAAAATGTAATTGTGGCCTTAGCAATTCACATCAGACTATTCATCTTTCAGGAGGACGTTCATCCAGCTGGCCCTCCACTAAAACATTGCTTAAATGTTATTTTTAATGCATAGTAACAGTCATAAGAATAGAACAAGGCTGTACTACAGGTAATGAAAGCAGGAGAATAATTCAGACGTACTGTCAAACCGGCAACGATTTTGGAGATGTGAGTGTTCCGGTTTGACGGTCACCGTCAGATAAACGCAAAACTACATATATCCCTGTTTGACCACTATGGAACCGTCAGAGCCAGCGGCAGACTTCAGAAAGTCTTGCCGACATTAGGCGGCTCTCGGCGGCTACTGTGAGCGCTGACACAGCTGTCAAACTGGGACACTTACATCTCCGAAATCGTAGGAGCCCAATTTTAAACAGGCTTTATCGTGATAAAATGACCACATATTTGGTGTTTATACCACTACTTTCTCGCCTCAAATAATCATAAACCTACAGTTTGTGTCACAATAACAATAGTATTTACAAAAAAGCCTGTGTTACCGTTGAAAGTTTTCTCCCCAGCTTTTGCCGCTGGGTGGCGCGAAATGCATTCTGGGATACTTAGCTGTCTAAAGTCCCCACAAGTCCAGTCTGATGCAGACTCGATAATGTGGGCGGGGCGAGAACACGGCCTATGTTAACAGCGGACTTCCTGTTGGGTTTAGGCCTTGGCGCTGACAGGCTTTTTTGTGCGTCTTGACCTGCTACACATGCCTACCAAATCTTGTAGCTGTAGGTGAAATGGCCTTCCGACAAGACTCCGTTGAATTGCAAAAACACAGCGAAAATGGACAAAATGGCCATTGATTGAAATTGGACGGGCTGTCATTTCCAAACCAGGCCTCATCTGCAAAGCGTTTTAATAACTTTTAATCACCACGTCCTGTAGCTTGTGCTGGCCAAATTCCAGCTGTGAACCACGTACCCCCTAGGAGGAGCTAGATTTTGAAAATGGCTAAAAATGGCCATTTTTGAGTGAAAATGGCCAGGCATGCTCGCTGTTGTTCCAACATGGCGGATTTCCTGTTGGCTTTACAGAAACATTCTCATGGACTTTTTTGTGCGTCACAAGACGTTACAGATGTGTGACGAATTTCGTAGTTGTAGGTGAAATGTAGCCACGATGGGACTCTGTTGAAATATTGTAGGGGGCGCAGTTGAGCCGTGTTGCATTTTAGAGCTTGGTCCAAGGGACTTTTTTGTTCGTGACGACCAGCTCTATATGCCTATGAAATTGTGAAGCGCTAGGGCAAACGTGCTTCCGACAGGACTCCGCTGAAATTTTCAATGTGGCGCTAGTGAGGTGTGTATTTTTCTTCCAAATTCTAAAATTTTTCTGTCTGATGTGTGTGCCAAGTTTGGTGCGTGTGTGAGTATGTTTAGGGCCTCAAAAAAAAGGGCCCCTTTGTCACGAATAATAATAATAATAGTCCGAGCAGTTCCAATAGGGTCTTTGCACCCTTTGGGTGCTTGGACCCTAATTGTTTTCTCCTAATGTCTGTATTGTAGATTGATATATGTTGTACAGTTTGATTTCTGTTGGTGTTTTGCCACAGATACTTTATTTTTTACTCTGTACTGATATTTGTGTTGTAACATTATTCGATCAAAGGCAGGACGGTTCCTCCTCCGGTCCTCACGGGGCGCTGTAGGCCATCAGACGGCCATGTCACTGTGGCGCTGTTTCCATGTAATACTTCCGGTGCATTGCAGTAGCAATGTAAGTGTTTTTTTTGTCAGTTTTATGAAACATTTCGTCAAAGAAAAAACGAATTGAGTGATACCTGCCTCTACATTAAGGCGCAGCGGTTCGCTGTAACAGAACTCCAGCATGGATATCCCCAATCCCCCCGAAGGTGAGCGGCTCACTGCGGCGGATTCTTGGTTTCATTGAACGTTTGTTAGCAGCCATGGCACCACCTGCTAGACAGCTAACATACCACTGTGTTTCGCATTTTGGTTAATTTTAGTAAGGTCTGTCGCTTAATGTCAGTCAATGTTTTGGAGTACACCTTTGCACTTAGGTGATACTTCTAGTGGCGTGGAATAGTGTTGTAGCCCCCAAGTAGCGCCAGCTGCCGTGAAAGCTCTTCGTGGTTTTAAAGTTAGCTGACTTTGGCGGCTGTTGGCTCTGCCGAAAGGTAGGCAACGATGTTTGAAAACCCAGAGGATCGAAATACACTTAAATCTGTTTTGAAAGTATTTCAATTAATCTCTTCTAACTGACTGGGTGAAAAATATTCAGTCTGCAGCAAAATAAGTAGGCTTTCTACTGGGTCATCCCAAGATCTGTTGAAACTTTGTGGGAGTGATTTTTGAACCTGACATCAGTTTGATCAGCCATGATTCAAGGTGTCCATCTGGCCATTTCGAAACTAATTACTTATTTGCCTGTGTCAACTTTGATTGGCCATAACTCCCATTTCTAATAACATATGAAAGCTTTCGAAGCTAACCTGGAATTTCAGCTGATTCCTTTTTGTGACTTCTTTGAAAAAGTTACCAGGACTGGCAATCAGACATGAAGACATCAAGCTGACACATTTAGTTGGTGTCAGATTATTGGAGAGGAGTGCATGTCTGAATGGAGTTTATCTGTATCACTTTCAACACAAGTCCAAACTGCCCTTGCCTTTACATAGACATGCACTGGCCATGCTAATCATTAACAGACAGGCATGCACAAACAACAGTATTTTTAATTGTGAGAAGCGATTTGTTATTATTATTATTATTATTATTATTATTATTATTATTATTATTGTTATTATTATTATAAGAATAAATACCTGCAGCATCAAACAGCAGGAGGATCCATATGAGCATCTCTGAAGCAAGAGAATTGGGCACCTTTTTGTACATCAGCAGTGACTTCACTATTTACTTTAAAGTTATCCCTGGCATGGCGCCAGGATCATTTCCTGGCTAGGATCTTTATAAACAGTCACAGTTTCATAAGCATTCTGTTTGTTCAATTAAATTTATTATTGTATTATTATTTATTATAAATCATTTGGTCTGCTGTCCAGTCTCATGTATATGACAGATGTCTCACACATACTGAGGCTCTGACCATCACTGTGGCGGCGGGTATGTCTGAATGAAGCAGTGAGGAAAAGGAATGTAGAAGTGACCCATGTCTCAATTACAGCATTGCCATCCTAATAACAGACTGATGAAGTACCAATGTTATATACACCATGTATGAAAAAGGCTTCAGATCAGGAGAAAAGAGTCTAGAAATACTTCATAAAAAGATTTACAGGATCTCTTTAAAAGAGTGTGATTATTATAAATGTTTTCAAAATGTCAAAAAAATAGATTACTGTCACATCTTGCCTTGTTTTGTCATTTATTTGTCCTAATTTTTTAAAGCATGTATTCTCACTGTTTTTCCCTTCTTTTTTTCCTGGTGCAGATCAAGAGCTGAAGAATGTGATTGACAAACTGGCACAGTTTGTTGCTCGAAATGGGCCAGAGTTTGAAAAGATGACAATGGAGAAACAGAAGGAAAACCCTAAGTTCTCCTTTCTCTTTGGGGGAGAATACTTCGGCTACTACAAGTGCAAGCTTGCTATGGAGCAACAGCAGCGTATGTAGTTAAAGGAACAGTCCACCGTACAAACAGAATGTGTACATAGATATTTATATGATGTTGGAATGTACAGTTAGTTTGGTTGCCAAAATCTCACCTTTCTTGTTATCAAAGCAATGTTAATAATTTAAAAAAAAAACAAAAAAACTGAAATGCAGCTTGTACAATGGAATAAAGAAGAACAGCCCAATACCACATTGTGCTCTAATATACTTAATGTTAAGCTGTGTTACTTGGGCTTTTAAATGGGAAACAATTTATTGCACTGTCCAACATCATATTAATATTGTGCATTCCGTTTTAGAGTGGGTTTCTCCTTTTGTTTATAGGCATCAGGAACCTGCCTTAGTAACATATCTATCAAACAAACACTACCTACCTAAACTTAGTTCATCATCCTAACTTTAATAAAGGGTAGCTTTTATTGCCTGCTGCTGTGTCAGCTGTGTTATAGAATAGAGAAGCAACCAGAAGCTGCCTCCATCCTGTAGGCAATGTTCAGCACTGTGAGACTGATCTGAACTGAAATTAATTCACTCCTGATTTGATGCAAAAGTAGGCAAGGTATGACACCTTGATGTGTTTTGACCACAGATTATTTTGTGTCCTTAGTAGTAAATGATTGAGCACCTACACACATGGACAAAATTGTTGGTACCCCTCGGTTAATGAAAGAAAAACCCACAATGGTCACAGAAATAACTTGAATCTGACAAAAGTAATACTAAATAAAAATTAAATGAAAATTAACCAATGAAAATCAGACATTGCTTTTGAATTGTGGTTTAACAGAATTATTTGAAAAAAGTAAACTCATGAAACAGGCCTGGACAAAAATGATGGTACCCTTAACATAATATTTTGTTGCACAACCTTTTGAGGCAATCACTGCAATCAAGCAATTTCTGTAACTGTCAATGAGACTTGTGCACCTCTCCGCAGGTATTTTGGCCCACTCCTCATGAGCAGACTGCTCCAGTTGTCTCAGGTTTGAAGGGTGCCTTCTCCAGACGGCATGTCTGGAGAAGGGAGCTCCCTCCATAGATATTCAATAGGATTTAGATCAGGGCTCACAGAAGGCCACTTCAGAATAGTCCAATGTTTTCCTCTTAGCCATTCTTGGGTGTTTTTAGCTGTGTGTTTTGGGTCATTATCCTGTTGCAAGACCCATGACCTGCGACTGAGACCACGCTTTCTGACACCGGGCAGCACATTTCTCTCTAGAATACCTTGATAGTCTTGAGACTTCATTGTACCCTGCACAGATTCAAGACACCTTGTCCCAGATGCAGCAAAGCAGCCGCAGAACATAACAGAGCCTCCTCCATGTTTCACAGTAGGGACAGTGTTCTTTTCTTGATATACTTCATTTTTGCATCTGTGAACATAGAGCTGATGTGCCTTGCCAAAAAGTTCCAGTTTTTTCTCGTCTGTCCATAGGACATTCTCCCAGAAGCTTTGTGGCTTGTCAACACGCAATTTGGCAAATTCTGGTCTGGCTTTTTTATGATTTGTTTCAACAATGGTGTCCTCCTTGGTCGTCTCCAATGAAGTCCATTTTGGCTCAAACAACGACGGATGGTGCAATTTGACACTGATGTACCTTGACCTTGGAGTTCACCTTCAATGTCTTTAGAGGTTGTTCTGGGCTCTTTTGTTTCCATTTGTATTATCCGTCTCTTCGATTTGTCATCATTCCTCCTGCGGCCACGTCCAGGGAGGTTGACTACAGTCCCATGGCTCGTAAATTTCGGAATAATATGTGCAACTGTAGTCACAGGAACATCAAGCTGCTTGGAGATGGTCTTACAGCCTTTACCTTTAACATGCTTGTCTATAATTTTCTTTCTAATCTCCTGAGACAACTCTCTCCTTCACTTCCTCTGGTCCATGTTTAGTGTGGTACACACCATGTCAGCAAACAGCACAGTGACTACTTGTAACCCTATAAATAGGCCGACTGACTAATTACAAGTTTGTAGACACCTGTGATGCTAATTAGAGGACACGTCTTGATTGAACTTGTCCCTATGGTCACATTGTTTTCAGTCTTTTCTAGGGGTACCATCATTTATGTCCAGGCCTGCTTCATGAGTTTATTTTTTAAAATAATTCTGTTGAACTACGGTTCAAAAGCAATGTCTGATTTTCATTGCTTAATTTTCATTGAATTTTTGTTTATTATTACTTTTGTCAGATTCAAGTTATTTCTGTGACCGTTGTGAGTTTTTCTTTCATTAACCGATGGGTACCATCAGTTTTGTCCAAGTGTGTATTTGTAGGTTCTCCAGCAATCACTGCATTACGCAGACAATAGTTGCAAAATTAAAGATTAAACAATTAAACAGTTAGAACACAAAGTTGAAACAACAATCTCGTTTGCACCATTTAAAACCAAAATAAACCATAACAATGACATTAACTCTGTAGACCTGCGTCATCAACATATTTGCCCCCACACCCACAGTGTTGTGAGGCCACATTGCAGTGTCCAAAGACATACAAAGTGGTGGTTGGCTGATATGTTGATTAGTTACAGAACACAGAACTGGGCAACCAATGGCCAATAGAAGAAGAATGCTGGTATCATGTTGTATTATGTTTCGGACCAAGAGTGGCCACACTTACAAGGCTGCCTCAGCTGCACAAGTGTCTCTGTTAGTTTTTTGTTTACTTGCCTCATTAAATATTCAATGGCCGATGCGGATGACTGCAAAAAGATGATTAATTGCTTAAGTAACTAACTGGTCAAACAGTAGAATAAATGTTAAATACGAGCACATCACACCATTTTACTTTAAAACAAACCACTCCTAAAACATAAATAAAACTCACTTCAACCAGAGTGAGACTGCCCTCTTCTCTGAGCATGGTTCTTGTAAGAACAATATGCATTTAGACTTTTGTAACAAAATTCTGAGATCATATATCACTATACTCAGCCCCAAAGAAAAAAAAACAATTCTTCACATGGATATTCAAAGCCTCTTGAAAACTGAGCAGCATGACTTGATGATATGAACTCATCCATTCGGTCTTAAAGTAGACATCAGTTGTTAGCTGTGGATGAAAACGTTTGGTCATGATATAATGAAAGGTATATAGTAAGCAATAGAAGCAGGTAAGCTCTCGTCAGCAACCTGGGCATGTTTTGAAACACAGGGTGAACTGTATAAATGGAGGTTCTGTAGAAAGTTTTGCCATAAGTGTGGCAAGCTGTTGGCCAGTTGTCCATTCTGTTTTGCCAAGTGTAAGGCTGAGGTACAGGTTCACTTAGTGTGTTTTTCTGAGCACCAGTCTTTTTTTTTTCTCCAGTTATTCACAATGAAGAGAGCATATGCTGCTAGAGACAAAGCTCTGCACACAGAATCTTTTATTCGCAGCACTCCACCTTTTTTGATCAGCTGAGCGCTTATATTTGAACATCCCAAAACCATTCAGAAAGGCACTGGTCTAATCATTGTTACTCCTTTTCAGGCAGCCTATCATATAAGTGGGACTCGTAACCCTGGTAACCAAGAAAATGAAGGAAAAGCTTGTTCTTACCAGATCTGTCAATGTCAGACAGAAATGATCACATCTAGGGGACATGCTTGCCTATTAAACATGCGTTAGAGTGGTAATATGTTGTCAAAATATTGTTTTCACAGAAGTCTCGGCCTTACGTTCCATGGACACTTAACTGATTGCTCTTTTTAATCACCACTATGTTACTTAACTTCAATTTTATTTGTATAGCGTCAATTCACAAATAAGCCATGTAAAGGCACTCGACATAGTAGGATCAAAGCTTTACAATATAACAGAGAGAAATCCAAGGATTTGCTTCAAGGATTGACTGACTATTAATGCCACCTGCTGCTGATCTAGACAGTCTGTGGTTCTTATAGCACCTACACTTAGGTTTTCGTTACTGATGGTCAGATTATGAAAGGTTTGTCAATGAAAGCACAGTGTTGTACAGGTTTGCATGGAATTTTTCTGTCAGTTTCATAATACCACTGAAATGCATTAAAGTTTGCTTTTCTCCACTTAGATCCCTCTACCCACGATGGGGAGGAGTATAAATCTGAAGGTATTTATTTGGAACCAGATTTGCCAGATGAATTCAAAATTTCAGTTAGAAAGTCACATTTTATTTTTGCACATTTGTGCTGGACACAGCCACATTTGTGCTTGAAAGCTTTTTGATTTGTTTTGGTTGCATATTTCATTGTTACATGTTTTTCTTTTTGAATCTGGGCTTTATTGTTGTTTTGAAGCTTGGCTAAAGATGTCTCAGCCATGTCTTTTTGATGGTGCTGATTACCATGTGCTCAATCCTCCATCTTGAAGCTGTAAGGTTTGTTCAGACAGACAGGTGAAGGAGTCTAGTAACCTGTCTATGGCCAAGGCCTTGTTTTTTAGTGTATTTGTCTGTGAAATGGTTCTACTCTAGATTCAGGGCAACAATAAATTAGGGGCTGCACCATTTCAGTCATTGGTATTGTGCTTGTTAGTATCTGAATCGTTGTCTCAGCTTTGGGAAAAAATTCTGTCCATAATCAGCTTTTCCCTTTTTAAATCTTAGTAAGCTTTCTCCACAATCAGATTCCACCCGTAACCCAGAGATAGGTTTTAAAGGTTATCTATGATAACTGATTACTTGAATATTTATCAACTTGTCATCTGTTCTTTATATGTGTTTTTACGTACAGTTTGATCTTGGACTGTAGGCCACGGATTCTGTCTCCCATTACAGTTGTATTGATTGTAATGTAATCCCACTTTATTATTCTAGGAATGTGTTTTTAATCTAACTGTGCAGTCCAGCTGCTGTTCCATAGACTAAAATGTCTGTTCTGTTTGCAAACCTTAGTGCTTCTGATCCTTTATTATTTTTGGAGATGCCTGCATGTTTCCTTTATAGCAGCAGTTGTTCCTGCAGTTTGTCAATGGTTGTCTCAGTGCTGGTTGCATGTCCTAAATTTAGTTCACTCTTCTGCTTTCTTCCTGGAACATTTCATCTGCTTGCCATATGTACACCACATCTTATTTGACCTTCAGAGGTCATTTTGATTGAAATGTTTAGGTGTAAAAATCAATGCATTGTCTGCCTTGAGCTTTGTATCATTTATGAAACATGTCTTTCTCTCTAATCTTGTACATCATGTCAACATTTGCAGCATAAACACTCTGTCTCATTTCCAAAATCAACAATTTACCAAACCTCCAAACTTCTTTTTATTTTTTTGCAGATATGTACAACCCAGGTGCCAAAGATGTGGTTGATATGCCTCCTCCACCGATGCCCATGATTGCTCCACCTTCGATTCCTCCACCTGCTGCACCCCCTATCGATGAACTCATCCAACAGAGCCAGTGGAACCTGCAACAGCAGGAGCAGCATCTGCACACACTCAGACAGGTACAGAACATGAAAGAAATTATTGAAGGAATGGGATAACATTGTAAATGAGCACATATCCCAAAAGAAGAAATGGAGTGCAGTGGGTGCTACTCAGATAAAAACTATACCGAATCTATATTCGCAACAGAAGAGGAAAATTGAATAAATCAAAATAAATCCTGCACTTACTAACCAACTTAAAATTAGAGGCCTGAGTAGCAACCCTGGATCTGGTGCAATTTCACATGATGTGCTTGGAACAGACCTTTAACCTGAGGCAGCCTCCAAATAATGAAGAGGTGTCTCATACATGTGACAAAGACGCTTCTTAGAGGTACCATCATGTTTTGGTTCTACAGTGGTGATTTATGTCTTACCGTGATACATCTCCCTGGTGCTTATGCTAAATGCCTAACCTGCTCTAGAGCCTTTGTAGAGCAATGTAATCCTGAAACAGAAAGACTAACACCTTATAGCCTGATTGTTGACTTAAGTGATTATCAATAATCCTACTTATGGATTTAAATTATGTTCCTACAGTTCTTTACTTTCCTGAAAGACCAAGGCTAAAAGTGTCACATGCCGTAAGAAAGAAACTTAATGTAAGATTGCTGAATTCATCCTCCACATCACCATTAAAAGGAACAGTTTGCTTTTATTCTTTTATAATATATTCGCTAAATATGTTGCCTTTTTGTAGGTAGCACCAAAAGGCACATCTGTAAATTTGTCTTGCAAACTTGTGATGCATGATGATAGTTAAAATGAATCTTGAAAATAGGATAGGAGGTCAAACAGAGGAGGAGCACTCGAAACTACAGGCTGAGTGTTGTTCAAGTGTTGGCACAAATCTAATGCAAGGGCTTGCACATACTAATTTACATATGTAAATAACATATGTATTAACCAGGACAAGGTGAATCACATGACAAAGGGGAAAGCATTGCAATGGCCTAGGACTGTAACAATGTGTTGAATTTAATTTTATACAAGAGAGCAACAAATCATTTTTTAGAAGTTTTTTTTATGTGAAGAGAAAATGAATAGCTTTGAATACACAAATACAAGAAAACTGATACAAGTGAGTGAAATGTCACCTTGCTATTACCATCTGTTGCACTTACAAGAACATCACAAGAACAGGGGCAGGTTCAATAAGGACTGATATATTTGATGCTTTTCTCAATGTAGGAACAAGTGACTGCAGCCATTGCTTTGGCTATGGAGCAGCAGACCCAAAAACTGCTGCTGGAAACTCAGTTGGACATCACAGAGTTTGACAACTTGCTGCAGCCCATCATAGATACCTGCACCAAAGATGCCATTTCTGTAAGCCCACCATAATGGAGATTAATTTAGAGATTCTTATTTAGCATCTTTATACGTCACTCATGTGTTTGTCTTCTTCTCAGGCCGGCAAGAACTGGATGTTCAACAATGCCAAGACTCCACAGCACTGTGAACTGATGACATCGCATCTTCGCAATCGCATCACTGCAGATGGAGCACATTTTGAGCTCCGCCTACACCTTATCTATTTAACCAATGACGTTCTCCATCACTGGTACACAAACCTAACTACGCGCATAAAAATGTTTGGATAACATTGTCTTCAATTAGCCTACTAGGGAGGGTTCCATAGATGCAAGTCACCTGCATTGACATGATTAACATGATTTCAGAAGCACATACCTCTACAAGTATTTTAGTGCCTAAGTCCTGTTCAAAGTCACTACTGGTTCCTTTTGAGAATTGTTTGGACGTGCGCCCAGTGTGCTCCAGACACAGCAAAACGCAGGTTACATTGTCTGTAATACGGCACGTTTATTTATCTTTATAAATCATACACCGTAAACATAATACTAACTAATAAAATATTTAGAAACAAAATAACAAACGCATTGCTATTTACCATACACAGGCGCAGTCAAAAAACTGTCTGTTTCTCCCAAATGAGCAACACCTGCCTCTGGGTTTACCCATCGACTGTATAAAAGATGGACGTAGCTACCGTGACGTCACCCGTTGTTTTCTGCACTGAGAAAATGAAGCCAGGGTTTTGCTACTTCCTGGTTGACATCTTGGATTTTTGGAGCCAGTGACGCAAAAATCGTTGGAGGGGGGCAGAACCATAGGAGCAACGATTGGTCAGATGGATTGAGAGGCAGGCTCTCTCTGCCTGCCCACATTTACCACCTTCTGCTTGCTTCATCTGCATCGTCGCTGCCGACTGTCGATCAAGCCAACCACGGCCCTTGCCCCGCAAAATTTTAGCGATTTTTAAAAAAATTCAGTATTGATTTATTTTCAGATTGGCAACCTGATCTCTGGATTTGACTATGAAAACTAATAAGAAAAAAATCATGAGCTGTAGGAATGCGGTACTTCGTGATCTGTGATCACTTCTTTTCCAATTCAAGTCTATGGGAGCCAGGGCTTTTTGGAGCCAGCAACTGGCGGACGTAGTGATATTGCAGGTTTTTGACACTTCCGGGTTGACTTCATTTTTCGGGGCCGGTTGCAACGTCCATCTTTTATACAGTCTATGGGTTTGCCTTGATTAAATAACCTACTTCGGTTGATCCCATATAACCCCTAGTGGCATGGAGCATACAACATAAAAATTTTGGAATGAATGAATATGGCTGGGCTGCAGGGTGGCGCAGTTGGTTTGCACTGTTGCCTTGCAGCAAGAAGGTTGCCGGTTCACGTCCGGGTGGGGGCACCGGAATCCTTCTGCGTGGAGTTTACATGTTCTACCCGTGCAGCGTCTCCGACTTCCTCCCACACAGTCCAAAAACATGTTGAGGTTAATTGGTGATTGTAAATTGTCTGTAGGTGTGAATGTGAGTGTGTTTGGTTGTCTGTCTCTAAGTGTAGCCCTGTGACAGACTGGCGACCTGTCCAGGGTGTCCCCTGCCTTCGCCTTAAGTCGGCTGGGATAGGCGGGATAGGATTAAGCAGTGTATAGATAATGGACGGATGAATCTGGCTTCTACAAGTATAAAACACTTATGTTTGTGTTGCACTGTCAAATGTTGAAGAAGCACAGGTTTAGGAAGATTGTGGCTTAATGAACTGGATTTCATTTCACTAAACTGAATTTATTAAATGCATACAAGTATTAACAAATTTTGAGCCATGATATCGACACACTGCAACAATAATGATTTTAGATTCACTTTCAAAATCACATCAGTCAAAAATGGCAAACATTCTGTTTCAGTTTCCTCAGTTTTGTATCATTAGAGACTGAATATATTTAGGTTTTGGACTGATATTCATAAACATCGTTTTGGGTAGTGGGAAGCTGTGTTTTAGTTTTTCACTGGTTCTTGAATAGACTAAGGGATCAGTTGAAAGTATAATGGTTTTATGATAGTAAAACATATTAGTTAATTCTTGGTCTGATTATGAAACTGTGTGTAAAGGAGCTTATTGGTGCGATAAAAACAGATTTTGTGTCAGTATATTCTTTTTGTAATGTGATGTTTGTTTAATGTTTTCTCCCAGCCAGCGGAAACAGCAGAAAGATTTGTTAGCTGCGCTGCAGAAAGTTGTTGTTCCAATCTACAGCACCAGCTTTCTGGCTGTTGAGGAAGAGAAGCAGCAGAAGATCACCAGGGTAAACACAAACACACACACTACAAGTCCAAGGCACAAATCAATTTTCAAATAACTTTAGGTTTTTTTCAAATTACAGGAGTTGGAAACAGATGTTATGCAAATGTCAAATACAAAGTACAACTCTGTATTCCAAAAATATTTCTTTAAATCTAGAGATAAATTAATCCTTGAGAGTGCCACGTTCAGAGAGGCATTAGGTTCTAGAGTCGTGCTTTTCCAGATTTTTCCAGATCAATAATGAGGGTTTCCAGTTCTTACTAGCTTCACCTCCAAGAGGGAGAGAAGTCTATTGTGTCAGGCTCTTTCCACCTACTTGAGCTGTTGTACTCGTTCCTGTGCAAATTCAATGTGTAATAACTTAAACTGTTGTACTGAAGATGAACCTAAAAAACATGCATAGTAACAAAAGTAAGCACATTGTGCAGGAGACAAACACCACCTGTATTTCTACTCCACAGTTAAACTGGAAGGCCCCTGATCATTTATTACGTCAGTTCAGCTTTAGGGCTTCCTGTTGTCAGTGATATATTTTATAATGAATATTATTATGTCAGTATCCCTGACTGGATCCTGTCTTTAATAGGGCTGTGTCAACCACATGTTGTATATAAGCAGACATAGCCAGTTAGACTCAATACAAAAACATTTGTAGCTAAATACACAGCTTTGGTGAGAAGAGGCACATTGTTCTGCCCTCCATTTTTTGGATTGAAAACATGGAGAATCAACTATCTCTTTTTGGTTGAAATTTTTTTTCCCGTCTCCCCTCTCAGTTGTTGCAGCTTTGGGAAAAGAACGGCTACTTTGATGAGGAGACCATTCAGCAGCTCCAGAATCCCGCTCTGGGCCTTGGCCAGTATCAGGTCAGTGAAACAAGGCTTAAGGCTCTAATTTCCTGCTGACACAAAACCAGCAAATTTTATGCAGTTTTCCTCAGCCACAAGTCTAGGAGTGGCAACTGCATCTTCCTGGTGTATGTATTGATATCTGAATCAGAAAAAACATTATTAATTCCCACATAAAAATAGTTTTACAACAGTTGCTCAAGAAGTTATATAAGAATTATACAACAATACAAGAAATACAATACAAGTAATAAAAGAAGTCTGGTGCCTTGCTGTAACAGAGTGGATAATTTCATACAGGGATGTCGGGTTAGGGTATGGGAACAACAACCAAGATAGTACGGAATGCTGACGTAGCCCCATTATAACAGTACAATATCTGGGATGTGGAAGTTTTCTTTCACAGTAATGTGACCAGGGTGCCCCTATTTTTTTTTATGCAAACAGCAGTCCCTTCACCTCTTTCTGTGCCAATCAGATTCATTCATGTCTGCCTAAACCGTCTGAAATCTGTCAGTGGAGTTCGAAGTACAAATGCTCTACATTTACTGGATAGGAAACATGAAGAATCAACTATCTCTTTTTGGCTCATATCTCCTCTTCTCCATCAGTCTCTGCTCTCTTTACCCTTGTTGCTTCATTCCCCCTTTGCATTCTGTGAGTGTCCTCCTTCTGATTTCTCGAGAGACATCTGTTGTTTTTCTGGTCGCCATGTTGACTGGCTTTAAAGTGATCAGTTGGTCCCAGGTGCAAATGGTTTGAGTGTAGAGTTAGTGGGCAACAGCAATTGTGGAATGATAAAGGTAATAACGTGACAGAAACCCAACCAGCATGTCTAAAGATGGCACAATTCAAAAAAAGTCACCAAGAGTGTTCCAAACAAGTTTGACAAAAAAAAAGAAGTTGAAAAAAGGTACATCACAATCTAACAAATATGATTGTGAAAGATTATTAGCAGCCTCTGTAGTGGCATCAGAGTTTGAATTGGAGCTCCAACAAAAGTGTGCACGTTTTGGTTTGCAAATGTCTGGCTCCTGATTTTATTCATTCATTCCATGGCTACTGTGGCCAGTTACCCTGCAGTGTTGCATAGAATACACCTCCCCTCCCGTGCTGCCCATACAAACCTTTCAGCATGCAGTGTGTAGTCTCAAATGGACAGTCCTGATTTGCAATGCTCATACAAGACTTATGGCAATTCCCAAAGGAACGACGTACTATACCGTCACACTTATACAAGCTCCCATTTAATCATGATTTGACACAATTTTAAGATTGCCATAGAAACTGTTGAGAGCCAAGTAAAGTAATGCATTCTATTTGACAACATGTAAAACAATGTAAATCAATGATTCTGGTTCATTGATCTTCTAATAGCTCTTTTCTGTGACACATGGCTGTCTGATACCTGACTCAGCTGATGGTTCTTCTGAATAGAAAACTTAAAATATGTGGATTTTGTAGGAAAAGTACCTCTACCCATACCTTAGCTTGGTTTTACTGACTGGTTTGCGAACTCCTGACTCTTTTTGTTTGTTTCCAGTGTTCACTGTAAATTGTTGATGAATGTGCTGAATGTGAACATGAACAATACAATGACCTCTGTGTTGTTATTGAGAGTGGATTGTGTTTGTCCATAATTGTAATATTTACAGCTTCATTTATACAGGAATTAATATCATTGCACTAAGTTCACTTGTCTTTTACCACCACTGTACATGCAATCTGGGATTTTATTCTTTATGTTTTTTGACAAAAGTCCAAACTCTGGGTAATCAGTGTATTTTTCTGTATTGTCAGAAGAATATTATTGCTGTTGTGGTTTATGTACAATGAAATATATCTACATTGTAAATACCAACACAAAGGAATTGAAGATATGTGAAATATATTCTTAATAACAATTGAAAACAAGTTTACACATGAAAGGTTGTTTTTGTCCATAGACCCATTTGGTAAACCTATACCTGCTCCTCATTGGAAGCTCTGCATTAACCGATCTGTGACTCAACATCACCTGACCCTTTGAATAATTTCAGTGTATGCTCAGACATTGTACTGGGCAGTGAATGCAAAAGTTTGAGACAACACACTGTTAGTGCACACAGAGGCAAGAGTTAATAAAATATAGCAATAAATAAACTATGTAAATTGTGGCGACAGAAACACCCTCCATGTTTTAGTAGATTATATTTACTTGCATTTAACTCTGCTCAGAACCAGCTCTATTTCAGAAGATCACACTCAGACTTCTCCAAAGTCTGCATGCTATACACAGCTAATGGAGCTGTGTTTATGTAACTGTTCTTCAGAGCATGATAAAAATTTATGCCAAAAGGGGGACCTTGTAATATTTCACTTTACTGCAAAGTCACAACCTTTAAGAAAACATCCACAGAAGCCAGGTGTCTATTTTTTTGTTTGGCAAAAGGGTCAATGGATTCACATTGTAGTATAAATAGAACTGCTGGTGTGGTTGCTGTCTGCTTTTATGGTCCACATCCGTCACGTGAAAACCAAGAATTGACCTCTAATAATCACTTTGTTTGAGTTTGAACTGTTTTTGCCCACCAAAATAACAAAAATGTGTTGGTCATGCTCATTTGTGTGTGCACCTGTCGTATTTTCTCGCCTTTCCCTATTTCAGAAACATAGTCTAGTTAGTTTTTTAATTATTATTATTACATTCATAGAGACAGTCTAACATTTGACACACCATTGTCCTCTCTATCAGGCATCCCTGATTACAGAGTATGCTGCGGTGGTGCAGCCAATTCAGCTGGCCTTCCAGCAGCAGATCCAGGCTTTGAAGACCCAGCATGAGGAGTTTGTTTCCAGTCTGAAGCAGCCACAGCCACAGCCGCAGCCCCAGCCGACCCCTGTAGGACAGCTTGCTACCCCGACTGAACCTGAAAAGGCCCCCTCAATAACTCCCAAGTCTGGTGAGACAAGACACACTCAACAAAACCAGAGGCACAGCCTGGTGCATGAAACAACATTTATGGTTTATATGACAACTAAAATATTGAGGCACCATACAATAATACAACGCATTCGTGCTTAACCATATAAGAGTTGTGTATAACTTCAGTTCATTCTGATTCAACAGTTTTGGAAAAGTTTTCATCTTATGCACGGTTTTGCTTAATAGTTTTTGACCTGCTTCACATCGGGCAAGTACATTCATGTTTGTGCTGTAATCTAACACTGTTTGTGTGCAGGAGATGTGAAGCCTCCTATGTCGGGTCCTTCTCCAGGAGAATTTGATGGAGCTTCATCCAGACCACAGGACCCCAGCAACCCTAGTGGACCCCCAGATATCCCCTCAAACAAGCCGGCATGGTATGACCCCCAGCACATGGGCCCCTGGAACCCCAACCAGCCGGTAATTTTATTTCTTTTTTATTGTGTGTGTATCTGTGTGTGTGTCATGCCTCTTCAAGATATGGTTGTCGGTGTTTTTGACAAGCAGCAGGTTGATGGGAATTAGGACAAAAATCGTCTTGACTTTCTCTTTCTACAGCCTACATTTACATTTACTCGTTTGGTAGATGCCTTTATCCAGACCAGTGCAAATCAGGTACAATCCAGACCACTGTAACTGCCTCATCACTTTGCTTCATGTTCCTTTCGACAAAAGTACCACAAGGAATAATGCGACAGTGAGAATACGTTTAGTGGGCACTTTTCAAAAAATAGGTAGGCAACATATTAGAAAACTAACACTGATGATTTGGGGTCAGAATGCAAAACCTCTGTTTTGGAACTGGGAGACTGTGGTTCAGTTCCTGAGTGCAAAGGACTTCTGCCTATGTAAATATCATTGCTAGACTCAGGTCTATGTGCAGCCTAAGTTAACTAGGGTAACTTTTCTCCATCCACAGCCTCCTTTTGACCCAAACCAGCCTCCCCCTCCTTGCCCTCCTTGGAACAGCCATGAGGGGATGTGGAATGACCAGAGGGACCCAGGGAACTGGAGTGGAGGTCCTCCTCGAGAAGGAAGCCCCTGGAGTGGTCCAAGTGGGTCTGACCCAGGTCCCCCATCTTGGAACTCATATGATCAGCAGCCGCCTTGGGGGAACCAGCCTGACCAGCCTCCTTGGGGTCAGAGGGAGCCCCCATTTCCTCCACGCATGCAGGCATGTGGTAGATGATTACTGTGGTTTCACCTACTTTGCTCTGATTTCTTTTACAAATTTTTGTTTGCACTGTATACTCTGCATTTACCATCTGTAAGTACCATATATCTGTGTCTGAATTTGACTTCAAAGTTATTTTCTTTTTCACCAAGGGTGTGGCTTCCTTCTGCTCATTTACATGATTAACTGTGTCGTCTGTGTTGCATTTCTATAGAGACCTCCCCATTTCAGAGGACCCTTCCCTCCCCACCAGCAGCCGCCTCCTTTTAACCAGCCCCCACCACCACCACACAGTTTTGGACGCTTCCCTCCACGCTTCATGCAGGAGGAGTTTGCCCCCAGACACCACTATGATAGACCGCCATATACCCCACATCGCTTTGACTATGCTCAGGGGGAATATCCTGGAGGTTAGTGCACAGGCCAGAGTGACTGATCAGTAAAGATCCCTGTTTTTGCTCCTGAAATTGTATGTCATTATTTTACCAATATCAACCTCTGTTTACCAGACATGCCAGGCCCTCCCCCCCACCACCATCCCAATCAGAGGTTACCTCCACCAGGTATGGGCGCCGATCATCCTCCCTGGGGTGGAGGCCAGCACCCAGATTTTGGACCACCCCCACATGGCTTCAATGGTCATTCACCGCACATGCGCCATCGACAGCATCCGGTTCAAGATGACCCCAGTCTGGTGCCCAATGTGCCCTACTTTGACCTGCCAGCTGGTCTAATGGCTCCGCTTGTGAAAGTAAGCCTTGTACTTCTGATTTTAGGGTCAGTGCATGAAGATAGGATGGTTTAACATCTCAGCTGATCAAGTTTCTTTTTTGATAGAAAAAAACTGTGTGACCGAATACTACCACAGTAGAAAACAAACAAAAAAAAAAAGATTGGACTGTGGAAGCGGTTTAGTTTGTAAAAACAATATCAAAAAATGAGAAAATGCAAACAGCAGTGATTCTCCCCACAACCACAGCGGCTCTTGAAGCGAAAATGTATTTTCAGAGAGAAGGATATGCCAACACCCAGGGGTGGACTGAGACATAAAATATATAATTCCAGAGACTCAGTATATAGTTGAAAATAAGAAATTATAGGCAGTACATCTTCTGATGATCTTGTTTACCTTGATTCTGTGTATAGATATGAATGTCTGTAAGCTGCTTAGATACATTTTATGTTTCCTGTATTTGTTTCAAATTCTCTGTGGCACCAGTTGGTAAAAAGTTATCCCCTTTCATCTCACTTAAATGCTACATATCTGCTTTTGTAACAGTGGACCTGTTGCTGAACCTACACTTTCTGCTTCCATTTTAAGTATAGTTTTTATTGTCCCGTGTCTGTAGAACCTGGAGTTTCTGCAATACTTTCAATACTATCAAAAAATCATTACCATCACATGGTCATAATTTTGGCATTAACTTGTGTCTTCTTATTAGGAACATTAACTTAGAACAGTAAGAACAAATCTGTAATGATCCTCCTTGTACTATCTACTACACAGCTTGAAGATTGTGATTATAAACCTCTGGACCCTAAGGACATCCGGCTGCCTCCTCCCATGCCACCGAGCGATCGGCTGCTAGCTGCTGTGGAAGCTTTCTACAGCCCTCCATCCCATGATCGGCCTAGGAACAGGTACACACACCTTAACTGAATATGCAAGACAAATTTAACATAAACTAAATGGTCCACACTTACTTAGCACTTTTTAACCTTAGCTAGGCTCTCATTTACCTAGTCCAGGGGTCGGCAACCTTAAACCCCTTTATTTGAACGAATGTCAGCAGAAAAAATGGAAAGGATGTACAATCAACATTTGTCATACATATTGTCAAGTCAGATCAATGTCAAGCCCACCCACCTGCCTACCCAGGCATCATTTTCAAGGATGTGCGACTTACAGCTGGTAAACAATCATTTTACAGATGTATGTTTACAAAATAGAAGTGATAATTATTTAAAAAAAAATAAATAAATAAAATAAAATAAAAAAAAGGTACAAAACACACAGTAAGGAGAAAAAAAAGACAAAACAACCAATAATAATAATTTAAACATAATAATAAGCAATGAAATATATACTTTAAAATAAATTAATGAATAAATAAAATAAAAACAAGTAAAGATACACAAACATATAATTAGTCATGTTCAGCGTTCCTCTCATCCAGAGATATCTGTAATTCCTCGAAATAAACATGTTGAAGTTAATTGGTGTTTCTAAATTGTCCATAGGTGTGAATGTGAGTGTGCCTGGTTGTCTGTCTCTAAGTGTAGCCCTGTGATAGACTGGCGACCTGTTCAGGGTGTCCCCTGCCTTCGCCCGAAGTCAGCTGGGATAGGCTCCAGCCCCCCCGCGACCCTAGTGAGGATTAAGCGGTGTATAGACAATGGATGGATGGTCCAGATCTCTGCTGTGTTCACACCAGACGCGAATTTATCGCGCTATTCGCGCGTTACGGGCGTATTTGGACGCGTGTGTGCACTGACTTTACTCGCTTCATTCGCGCGTATAAATCGCGTCAATCGCGCGTCAAGATTTGTGTCTGAATTCTAGTCACTGGCGCGACGGACGCGATCCAGACGCCGGATCCATGGGATCCCCCAGTGACGCACACAGCTCGGGGAATTCCCCCACCTTCTCCAGGAGCTGCGCCTGGATGACAGCCGCTTCCAGCGCTGTTTTCAGCTGATCCGGACCCAGTTTGACTACCTGTTGGAGAGGATCAGTAGCAGGATATCCCTCCAGAATACTAACTACAGGCGCTTGCTGAGATAGAGCCATGTTTTTTCCGTGCCACATACAACAACACGGAAGAGCGGCCGCCACCAGGAGTAAGCTGACCACAGCGACGAGGAGCCAGCGGAGGTTTATCCCGCTAGCACTACGATAGCTAGCAACTCGGCTCGCTAGCTTGCTAAGTTGAACAGTAGCATTCTTGTGTGTGAACTGGAGGAGAGGGACAGCCCGTCTGCTGAGCACTGAGATCTGCCTTGGCCAGTAATGTAGCTGCTTATCTCCTGGGGTGAGTAAATCAATCAGTATTCAGAGTGTAGTTGCAAAAAATGAATGAATCATGTTGTTGACGTCACCAGAGAATCTCAACGCTGATTGGCCATCGCGGCGCGTCAGATCGCAAAAGTTCAGATTTTTCAACTTTCTCTCTAGACGCGCGTCCAAATCGCCTCAAACGGGCGTCAAACTCGCTCAATTCGCGTCTATCGCGCCGCGGGACGTTTACTCGCGTCTTCACATTGACTTTATGTGTAAATCATTTGCGCGAATGATTTTACTCTGGTGTGAACACAGCATTAAGAATTGCTGAGTAGTTCTGAAGTGAATCTTATTTTTTCTCATTTCAGAAAATACAATGTCTCTCTAATCATCTTGTAAAGCTAGGTGGAGATTGCGTCTCCTTGCAATAAGAGTGGTGAAAGCAAGAACATCACAGGCATTGCTTGGTAAAGTCAAGGGGCTAACTCCAAATATAGCACTTATGGGACTAGGGCACACTTTTTTCCCAAAGATTTTTGTAAATGCGTCAAAAATATTTGACCAGAAAATGGAAAGTACGGGACATGACCAGAACATATGTATGTGATCTGCTGGTTGACCCTTGCATCGAGGACAAGACGGGTCTGTATCGGGATATATGTCTGCAAGCCTTGCATTGGTGAGATGAACTCTTGAAACCACTTTCAACTGTATCAAACCATGACATGCGCAGATTGAGGATCCAGGTATACACCTGAGAATGGCCTCCCATGTTTCATCACTAATTGTTAAGCCTAGGTCAGTTTCCCATCGTTTCTTGATGTCCTCAAGTGATGTGGGATAAGCGTCATTTATTGTTTTGTACAGAGTAGAGATTAATCTTTGCTTTGTAGGTGACGCTGAGAAAATGTTGTCTAAGATATTATTGTTTGGTATGTTTGGAAAGAAAGACAAGTTTTTTTGGACAAAGCTCTTAATTTGTAAGTATCTGAAGAAACTTGACTCTGGAAGATCAAAAATCTCACTCAGGGCCCCCCTATAGCTCACCTGGTAGAGCGGGCGGCCCATGAACAGGGGCTGTAGTTCCCTGATGCAGCGGTCGTGAGTTCGAATCCCGCTCACGACCCTTTGCTGCAGGTCTGTCCCCATTCTTCTCCCCCCTTTCCTGTCTCCCTCTACTGCACTAAATAAAGGCAAAAGCCAAAAAAATATATTTAAAAAAAAAAAAAAAATCTCACTCAGTTCAGAAAATGAACAAAACCGTCCATCTGAGAACAAATCAAACACAAATTTAATGCCCTTCGCATGCCACGTTTGATGAAATGCATCCAAGGGAGAGGGCAGAAAATTGTGGTTTCCCCAAATGGAGGCCAAAATGTCTCCTAAACTGTGTAAATATCTTCATGGTTTGGCTGACGATTAAGTTTGACTGTATGGCCGCAGGGGCTAAAGCAGCACATACCAATAAACCTAGATGCTGGTGACTTGTGACATATTCTATGGACACCCATGAATCGCATTGATCTTTGTTAAAATGAACCCAATGAAGAATTTTTTGTATATTACAAGCCCAGAAGTAGTAAATAAAGTTCGGAAGTGCTAGTCCAGCTCTATTTTTTTGTCGCTGCAGAGCAGATCTTTTTATTCTGTGTGACCCTCCTTTCCAGATAAAAGTGCCCATAAGCTTGTCAAGACTCCTGACCGCCTATGAGTGCTTTAGGACAGGAGGAGCTCATGGCAGCACTGCTGCTCGGTGAGGACAGTAACTGCAGAACGATACGTGTTTTAACTTCAAAGTCTCCAAAACACCAGAAAAGTCCCCAGTAACACCAGAAAGAGTCGCTAGATTTATTGCTAGTTGCTTTTGACAAAAAAAAAGTAGCCAAGTGGTTTTGGGAAATCACCAGATAATGATGATGATGATAACAATAATAGTAAATTTATTTATAAAGCGCTTTCAGTCAAAGTGCTATATCAATATAATAATAATATCAATTGATCAGACAGCAATGCTTAACTTGTCAGCTGACTGAAATACCAAAATGAAGAAGAAGTCTAACCCTTTTGTGTCATTTGGACATTTTACTGTGGATAGTCAGAAACGCTTGTGTGACAGAGACCTGTTTGACAGACAAGTTTTGAGATTAATTGATGTTAGTTTGACCTACATTCAGGCTAGAAGGTCACACTGTTAAGCACCCCTAATATGCACCAGTAGAGAGCCATGTCCCTCTTCAAATAAACCAGATGAAATTTGAGTCAGTGAACATGAAAGCCTTTTTCTGCTTGTCATGTGTAGAGGTTTGGTTTGATAGCACAAACTTCAGTCCAGTTTTCAAGTCTACTGTTGAGTTCAAATCCTTTCCAGTCCCTATAATCAACAAATGATCTTTGTCTGCCTACAGAGGCAGGCTTGCAGAGAACACATTTAAAATATATTAACAATTCTTTTTGCAAGGTGTAGCAAGTTTCAAAATGTTAGTTATCTACAGCTCTTGTAATCTGCCACAGACAATGTTTGTCTTTTAAACTTGTGACAGTGTCGGTCAGCGGTGTGTTTTAAAATTTAAAAAAAAAAAAAAAAAAAA